CCCAGGGATGCAAGGTTGATTCAACATACAGAAATCAATAAATGTAATTTATCACATCAAAAGACACAAAGATAAGAATCATATGATTATATCAATTGATGCAGAGAAAGTATTTGACAAAATACAGCACCTTTTCATGTTCAAAACACTAGAGAAACTAGTAATAGTAGGAGCATACCTCAACACTGTAAAAGCTATCTATGCTAAACCCAAGGCCAACATCATTCTAAATGGTGAAAAATTGGAAGCATTCCCTCTAAAAACTGGAACAAGACAAGGATGCCCTCTTTTCACTACTTCTATTCAACAGAGTCCTTAAAACTCTAGCCAGTGCAATTAGACAGATGAAAGAAATTAAAGGGATACAAATAGAAAAAGAAAAACTCAAACTATCACTATTTGCTGATGACATGATTCTATACTTAGAGGATCCAAAAAACTTCACCAGAAAACTTCTAGAATTAATAAATGAATTCAATAAAGCAGCCAGATATTAAATCAATACCCATAAATCAAATGCATTTCTATACATCAGTGATGAATCCTCTGAAAGAGAAATTAGGAAAACTACCCCATTCACAATAGCCTTAAAAAAAAAAAAATACTTGCGAATTAACTTAACAAAAGAGGTGAAGACCTCTACAAGAAAAACTACAGAACACTAAAGAAAGAAATTGAAGAAGACTTTAGAAGATGGAAAGATCTCTCTTGCTCTTGGATGAGCAAAATTAATATGTCAAAATGGCCATACTCCCCAAAGTGGTATACAGAATCAATGAGATTCCAATTGAAATCCTAATGTCATTTCTTATAGAAATAGAAAAAGCAATCATGAAATTCATTTGGAAGAATAGGAGACCCAGAATAGCCAAAGCAATCCTTAGCAAGACATGTGAAGCAGGAGGCATCACAATATCAGATCTTAAACTATACTGCAAAGCTATAGTAACAAAAATGGCATGGTATTGACACCAAAATAGACATGTAGATCAATGGTACAGAATAGAAGACACAGAGACAAACTCATGTAAATATGGTTGGTTATTTTATACTAGACTAAGGTGCCAAAAACATTGGAGAAAAGATAACCTCTTCAACAAATGATGCTGGGAAAACTAGAAATCCATATGTAGCAAAATGAAACTAAAAACCCTATCTCTCACCATGCACAAAAGTCAACTCAAAGTGGATCAGGACCTGGAAATTAGTCCATAGACCCTGTGCCTAATAAAGGGAAAAGTAGGCCCAAATCTTTATCACATTGGATTAGGGTTGACTTCCTTAACAAGACTCCTAAAGCACAAGAAATAAAATCAAGAATTAATAAATGGGATGGACTCAAACTAAAAAGCTTCTTCTCAGCAAAAGAAACAATTAATGAGGTAAACAGAGAGCCTACATTTTGGGAGCAAATTTTTGCCACACAGACATTAGATAGAGCACTAATCTCTAGGATATATAAAGAACTCAAAAATATTAACACCAAAAAAACAAACAACCCAAGCAAAAAATGGGCTAAGGAGCTGAACAGAGGCTTCTCAGAAGAAGATATACATTCGGTCAACAAATATTTGAAAAAATGTTCAACATCTCTAGTAATTAGAGAAATGCAAATCAAAACTACTCTAAGATTTCATCTCATGCCACTCTGAATGGCACTTATCAAGAATACAGACAGCAATAAATGCTGGTGAGTATGTGGGGGGAAAAATCACACTCATACATTGCTGGTGGGACTACAAATTTGTGCAACCAATCTGGAAAGCAGTATGAAAATTCCTTAAAATACTTGGAATGGAACCACCATTTGACCCAGCTATCCCACTCCTCTCGGTCTATACCCAAACTTAAAATCAGCATACTATAGTAACACAGCCACTTCAATGTGGCTCAACTCACAATAGCTAAACTGTGGAAGCAACCTAGATGCCTTTCAATAGATGAATAGGTAAATAAACTGTGGCATATATACACAATGGAATATAACTCAGCATTAAAAGAAAATAAAATCATGGCATTTGCAGGTAAATGGATGGGGTTGGAGAATATCTTGCTAAGTGAAGTAAGCCAACCCCAAAGAACCAAAGGCTGAAGGTTCTCTCTGATAAGTAGATGCTCATCCAAAACGGGGAGGAGGGAGGCATAGAAAAAAAAATGGAGGAACTTTTGGGCTGGGGATGTAGCTCAGCTGGTAGAGTGTGTGTCTTGTATCCACAAGGCCCTGGGATTGATCCCCAGCACCACACACACACACAAAAAAAAAAAAAAAAAAATGGAGGAACTTTAATTGGACAAAGGGGAGGGAAGGTGGGAGGATGCAGCGGAGCAGGAAAGATGGTGAAATGAGATGGACATCATTACCCTAGGTACGTGTGAGACTGCACCTAGTGTGTACAACCAGAGAAATGAAAAGTTGTGCTGCAGTTGTGTACAATGAATCAAAATGCAGCTTACCGTCATATATACCTTATTTAAATAAATAATAGAAAGAATAAGAATCTGACCTCTTATGTTTGAGTTCTGCACACTGATTCAGCAATGGACTGCCAGCCAGACGACTTGCAAGGCCCCTGTTCCCTCAAAATCAAGGGCATCAGCTAAACAGACAGGATGTGAAACAGGCTGAATTTGCACTCCCCCTCCCCCAAATTGGGAATGGCTTCCTCATGCTGAGAGCGGAGGCTGGGAGGCTGCGACTCCCCACCACGACAGACACTAAAGAAAATGGGAGCATACATCTGCAGATGTACATTCCCTGTCTTTTGTCAATTCCCTTCCTCTTCTCCATGGAAAGTTCTACTCATTTTCAGAGATTTCAGAGACAGAAACCTTTGAGCCAATTAAGTGTCTTCCATCGTCCTTCAAAGCAGGCTCTGAATAAAACTTATTTTCTCACCAATTTGACCCCGAGTATTCCTGAAGCAGGGGTTGTAGCCTTCCCCCTTCTCTCCCAGGCAGTTAGAGCCACCTGGCAAAAATATGAGGGTGGGAAAGGAGCAGTCAGGCAAGGAGATTTAAAAGGCACGGACGGTGATCTTTTTAAATGGAACTTGAGATGAACACTTTGTGTCAGTAAGTGAAGCTGAGGGTTCCTATGTATGGGTGGGTGCCTGACAATAATTATCAAAGGGACTCTGCCAAAATCACGTTTGTCCTGAACTTTAATCTGAATTTGATCTAAAAGACCTGCTATTGGAACGAAACCCGTATCTTGATATGTGTACAGATGGGAAACTATTAAAGCTCACCTGCCTAACTGCGATTAGGATGTTGGTTACTGTACTTCCTAATCTTCTAGTAAGTTTGTATTTTTCCAGATTGCAAGGTGCCGCAGTCCGGCTGCAGCAAAATAACCAGGGGGTGACGAATAACTTGTGTAGATTGATACAGCAGGAGTGGGAGCCGTTTGTTGTAGGACCGGAGGGGTATATATACATTCCACACAGCTTATCTTAATTAACATAAACTAGATACAGCAGTCAACCAATAAGGAATCTCCACACTTAATGGCTCACTGGCGTTACTTCACAAACCACTCCCTCTGGCAAAATGCCAGGCGCCATCTTGACTTGTTTATAGACCCTAACAGCAAGGTACATGGTTAAGACAAAATGCATGGATTCCAGCACATGCCAACAACTGAGACTGGTCTCCCCATCCTCAGTAGATCAGACAGACAGTGACTTTAGATCCCTGGCTAGACTGACTCATCACCCTTCGCCAGCTTGAAGTATTTGTACCAGATGGACCTTGGCCCTTCATTGACCCTCAAGAATAAAGGATCACAAGTCTGCTGTGTGTGTAGAGTTGGGCAAGAAATGAAATAAGAATTGGAAGATACCAAAAACAAAGGTATACTGAGTCTCAGAAGAAAAGCACCCATAAACCATTGTCCTTCTTTCTCTTGCTTTCCTTTCTCCATCAAGACAAGTCATCAAGAGCAGAATCTGTCTCCTCCAAGACAGTTCATAGAAACTAGAACCCCTTGACCCCAAACCCATAAAATACAGAAACATTACTCTAACATTTCCTTACCTCTTTGTGTAAGAACTAGCCAAGAAGAAATTCTCTGAATTAATTAAAACAGATTGAAATTAAGGGTCTCTCTGAAATTAGGGGCAATTTCCTGGTCACTTGTTTGTCTGTGTCCTGTATTTCTTCCTACCAAGAGAAAAGCCTGAAGCACTGTCCTCCTCCCCCAGCCTGAGAGACACCAAAGAGGCTGAAAATAGGAATTGCCCCTGCCTGGCCAGATGCCAATGGTGTGCTCTTTGTCTAGCAAGGCTGACTAATTCTGCATGTGTGTGTTTCCTGCCTTTTGTCCCACTTTGCCACCTCTTCTCCTATGAAAGCGTTCCTGGCCTTGCAGTTTTCCAAAGATGGGAATTTGAAATATAAAACTTTCTTCCATCTTTTCCTTCCAAGATGGCTTTCAATAAACCTACTTTCCTGCCAATTGACTGAGTATTATCAGCGTGCCAAGAGTGGTGGAACCTTGCTTCTCGCCACTGCGAGCTAACAATTCCTCCCAGTAACATACCTCTCCTGAGAGTAGTCACAAGAATGGCTTCCAAGAAAGGGTCCTGCCCCATACCTGAGAAAAAGGAATTCCACCCAGACAGACCAAGAATCATCTGGACAGATAAAACAGACAGGCCTTGCTAGTCCCCCCCATCCCCCAGCACAGTCTGTGGTCAAGGTCATATCCTTATCACCCGATCACATTCCTACAGATCCATTCATTCTCTAAGCATAAAAAGCAATAGTTTTCTGTGTCTTTGGCTTTCATTTCTGAAGTCTCCTGTGCCGCTTTATTAAATAAATGTGTTATGCTCTTCTCCTGTTTACCTGTCTTTTGTTACAACAGTGTCTGTCAACCATGACGCTTATGATGGGGAGGAAAGGGATCCTCTCTTTCTCCACATGTCTCAAGTTTACTCTATGAATATTTTCCATGAAATTTCTGGATGGGTAGAGGCAAATATATATTCGGTTGAAAGCCTATTTGTCTTACCTAATTCTTTTTAAAAAAATAATTATCACCAGACGGTAAATATTTCTTGAGCTGATTCTCAATTGCACTGAATAAGAATGTCTGGCCCAGCAGTTTGAAATTTCATCAAGCATCTTATTAAATACAACCATAACTGACATTCCAATCACTATTGTTAGCCTGATGAAATCAAAGCTAATATTTTCTGGTTTCCCCAGAACTCTGTCATTATCTGGCATTTCAAGCAGCCGAAAGCTCTGCTTTTATAATGTGTTTAATGATTGCGCTCGAGGGAAGAGGGAGAGTCTTCAGGTAAAGGTGGCACTGCTATTAGGTGCTAGATGAAGGGGCTGAGAACCTCATGAATTCTGCAATAGAAAGCTGCTGGCATATTCGTGTCTACAGAGTCCCCGCTGTCTTTGTGTTTGGAATTTAAAACTATTCCCCAGGTAGGTATGAGCACAGCTCTTTGTTCGCAGCCCTCCTCCACAACATGATGATCTCTCACAATCCATTATCTGTTTTCTTTTGATATATATATGTATTTTTTGGTATTATAACTTTGATCGTGCCTCTGTTCCATTTGTTCTGATTCATGCCTGCCCTCCTTCCATCTTTATCATCTCTTTATTTTACTTCAGTTGCTGCACATTTTGTTATATTATTTTTCTTATGAAAGTCGACTCTGATTTAATAAAGGAAAATGATACTTTCTTTTGCCTTGCTGGGAGCAAACTGCATAATATATATTTTTAAAAATCCTGTAGTGTGTGAAGGAATTCTATCAGGGTAGGGGGGGTTGTGAGATTTTTCACTTGAGTCTTTACTCTCCTGCTTTTTATTTTTGTTCTGTTTTTGGAATACTGAGTTACTTTGGTTTATAATACTAGATTAATTTGTTTTCATTTCTTTGATCTTACATCTTTATTTTTCTTAAAATTATATGGATCTTTTTTTCTTTTTCTGGGGGAAGGGAATGCTGGTTTTAAATTTGGTAATTTAAAACCTGTTTGATTTTAGAGAGAGCTATCTAGAGACAGTCTGGGAATACACTTGGCCCTGAAAGTGTTGCTTTGCGTTTTCCATTCACTTTGGAGTTTCTCTCCCATAGAGCAGAGGACAGATTATGGTATGGAATGGCCCCAGAGTGTCTTCTGCAGCAATAGTAATCATTCAATATTTCTTAGTTCCCTTTTTAGATGCAAACTATCAGTTTAAATCATCTACACAAAGCAAAAAAAAGGCCTCTCCAAGTCTAATCTGAGATGAAAATCTCCTTGGGAGTGAAGTTTCAGTTCAGAGAACAAAGGACGAATAGACCAAAGGCTTAAAGTACTTTCCCCTGCTTCAGGGATCCAAGACAGCCAGCATACAGATGCGAAAGAAGGCTTAGGGCTAGACATCTTTTGCTCTGCTCTTTCTTTCTTCTTCTTTTGTGAAATGAAATAGACAGACCTGCCCAGAGGCAAGGGAGCTAAGCAGTTTCTAAACTTGGGCTAGGGGGCAAGCAGGGCTAGTATTGTGAAAGCCTCCGTTACTGAATCAGGTCAAGAAGATGATAAAATACAGAATCTAGAGTGGAAGCCTTATGGGAATGCTGAATTTAGGGAAATAAGTAGTAATTTTTCCTTCTGGTAGGATCAACAGGATGAGGAGGACTTCCTGCAGTAGATTCTGATAAGCTAAACTTGGAGACGGATCTTTTCCTGACATCCAGCCTGCCTGCCAGAATCACTAACTGTAGTTGGAGGAGGGCGTTATTCATACTGGCTGGGGTTAAGACATAGATGGATTGGGCTACCCTGGTGATGCCCAGGCCTTAACTAGATGTCCTCAAAGTGGGGTGGTGAGTCCTGTTTTGTGCACAGTGATGATGGAAATATTGGCATCACCACAGTCAGAACGGGGGAGATAGAAAACAGAATATCCTGGGGCTGGGGTTGTAGCTCAGTGGAAGAGCCCTTGCCTAGCATTGGGTTCAATTCTCAGCACCACATATAAATAAATAAAATAAAGGCCTATCAACAACTAAAAATATTAAAAGCAAACAAACAGAATATCCTACAAAATGGCCATGAGACAAATGGAGGTGTCTGTGGGTTGTCTGTACATTTACTTTACAGTGCTTCAGCCTGGAAATGGCTAGTTGATATTTGAAGAGCTCTAATGGGGAAAATACCCCAGAGTGGTAGACTAACCTTTGAAATTCTCTAACCAGAAGCCTCATTTCAGAAGAGCTGTATTGAAGCTAGAATTAAGAACATGCAATCAGTATAGATAGGTAAATCAGGTCGGGTTGAGAAAATGAAGGCCGTTTTGGGTCTGGGAAGTTGTAGACTGCCCCTAGGAGGTTGAAATGTTAATGTCCCCAGAACCCTACTTGTACTGCACCCTCCCAAAAAGTTGTTAATGAAGCAACTCCTGAGCAGTCTAGGAGCTGTTAGTTAATGCACCCTGGGACTCTTTCAGCCTCCCTTGGCCCCTGTAGCTTATTTGCTTCTCACTTTTGGCCATCCCACCAGGGTATCTCCTGGGCCTAGTCACTAAGCAGGAAGGAGAGCAATAAGTGGGAGGAGAGGAGGAGAACATAGATAATCTAGGATGTATAAAAGAGGCAGAACACCCTCGCTTCTTGGGATACCAGGATACCAGCTATGGCCCCCTTCTCCCTCCCAGGAAAAGTCTGTGTCACCCCTTTTTAAAAAAAACCCTGCTTTATATGCTTGCCCCCGCGTGCTTCTCTATTGTTATTCTTCAACATGCCAGGGAGCAGGACTCGTCACTGATAACCATTGGTATCAGTATTATGGCTCCAACAATCTTTATTTCATATTGATCCTAGGAACTATGTGAATTAGCATAATAGATGTTTGAAATGATCTTTCATGGACAAAGTGAGTTTGTTTTGAGTGGATTGATTAAAAATGCTTAATGGATACTCTTGGCTTCATGTACATGAGATCTAAAAATCCAGCCAGCCTAATCCAGAGCTATACACTTTGAATTTTCTCTTCAGGCTTTAGATTCCAAACTGTGTCAAGAGGGGTGATGGGAAGATTCTGTTCCTTGACTCTACTTGGAAAGTGTTAGGGAGAAGATGATGTAACCTCTCCCCCACCCTTTAGTTCTCATGTGGGCTCGTCGGCTTGGTCAAGAAACCAAATTGACAAAAGAAAACTACAATTTTGATGAATTCTACACATATAAAGACCCTTACAAGTGGAGTCCCAAAGAAAGACCAAAATGCCGGGTTTCTGTTCTCGCGACTAAAAGGCTCAGGGGTCACTCTAGTTAAACTGGGCTAACTGGGCTGCACGAAATAATCACACAAGAGACACAAATACCTTTTTCTTTGGGGTTGCTGTGACGGCTCCTCTGACCTTAAGGGTCAACAGAAAGAGAGAGAGAGCGAGAGCACGCACTGACCCCTTTTATTGAGGAGAAGCTATTCAAATGAGGCAAGGGGGCAGGTTTCAGGAGCTGAGTCCACTGATCTTCATGATGTCCACTGTCAGCAGGTTGACTGACACCTGGGTAGGCCACACCCAAGGGCACAGTAAGAGAAGGGGACACACACAAGGCACTTCCCTGGAAGATTCTATCCTAAACAAGGCGAGGGGTTATATTACAAAGGAACAGGTGAGCATAGCTTCACCCATGGGGCTGTAGCAAGACACACCCATTTCTGTGACTGAGCACCTCAGCACCCAGCTGGGGAGTGTAACTCAGTCACCCATAAGGTTGGCCTCCCACACCAAAGCATAAATTTTTTTTCTACTTTTTATACACAGAATAATAAATTTGTAAAGAAATGATAGTACAAAGGGATTTGGGCTAAGAGCAGTAAATTTTAGGGTAATCACCAGGAGATATACAATATATTTTCTGAGAAATACATCATTAGGCAACTTTCTTGTTGTGTGAATATTATAGAGTGTACTCACTCAAACCTAGATGGGATAGCCCACCGCACCACTATCCTACATGGTGCCACGCCATAGCAATAGGCCACCTATTGCTTGAGAGTTCCAAACCCCTATAGAATGCCACTGTGCTCAACAGAGTAGGCAATTGCAACACAGTGCTAAGTATTTATGTATCTAAATACAGAAAAAGTTCAGTAAAAGTATGGCATGAAGGAAAAAAATGGTTCACCTGGACAGGGCATTTACCATGAATAGAGCCTGGAGGACTGGTAGCTGCTCTGGGTGGGTCAGTGGGTGGTGTGTGAATGAGAAGGTAGTGACACGACAGCATGTTCTAGAAACACTGCATCTAGGTGACACTCAAATTATAATTTAAAATAATAATTTGTAAGGGTTCGGCGGAGCGTTGGAGGGAGAGACCACACAAGAGACTGACTTCATGCAATTGGCAAAGGGGATTTATTAATTCAGCATGCTGAGATCCCAGGCTCACTCAGGAAGATAGAGCAGCCCAGAGCCCAGAGCAGAGGTCAAGCAGAGCTTAAGTACACTTTTTGGAGAGGGCGGGGGGCTTTGCATACATCAGAACAAATCATCATGAGGCGTGGGAAAATTGAACAACAACTCTGAGACAGGATTAGTACATTCATTGGCGGGAACAGTCTAGGCAGGGGTGATTGGTCACTCCTAAGCAGGGTACACATTTAAACTGATTGGTTTTGTGGCCTGGATGCCTACGTGCCGAGCTACTTAGAGCCCTTAGCTATTAAACAACCAGGGAATCAGTGGAAATTTTTACTGGGCAGTTCCAGTATTGTCCTAACAGCTACAGAGATTACAGGTTCCGGGGGTAGCAGAGGAATTTTAACAATACCTAGTCTTTTACTTTTTAGCCCAGGCCTTGCAATTTAGAAGCTTTACAATGCCCAGTCTTTTACACTTTAACTCAGGCTTTTGCAGCTTAGAATCAGCTTAGAAATTTTACCTTTACAAATGATGAATTAACCTTAATGTACGGTAACACGGTTACTTTATAAACTTAAATTTTTAAAAAAGACTGATGCTTTTGTAATATAACAGAGCAACTCCGTTGGGAGGATGTCTTTGGCAAAGTTAACTTTGCCTCCCCCTCCCTTTGCCTTTCTGCAAAGTTGTTGTCCCTCCTTAATTCTTCTTCAAGTATCACTCTCCCTTCCCTTTGTCCTGGCATTCTAAAGTTCTAAAGAGAAGTGGTGAAGATGTCTAAAATGTTTCTTTAAGATTTACAGATCTCAGAAAATGGTTCCGGTGGCAACTGTCATGGTTAAGAAGTTAACTGTTAAATAATCTTTAAGATCTCAGAACATCTGGTGACCTTTGTAATGTCCCTCTTTAACCTTTTTGTTTGTTTGTTTTTGTACTGGGGATTGAACCCAGGGGTGCTCTACAACCAGCATCTTTTTTCCTTTGGGGATAGGGTTTGGCTAAGTTATCTAGGCTGGCCTCATGCTCATGATCCTCCGGACTCAACCTCTCAGAATGCT